CAGAGACAGACTAACGCCAGAGATACCCTGGTAACCACATACCAGTGTGTATAAGTTTTTAAGGTACTTTGAGAGTTCCTTCAGGACTAGAGAGATGTCTCAGTGGGCAAACTGTTCACTGTACCAGCATAAAGGCCTGGGTTCATTCCGCAGAAGCCATGGGAAAGTATAGCACTGTGCTACCCACCTGTAATTACATTCCAGATGCTGAGGTTACAGTGTACCACGCTGGCTTTCTTTCTGTCTCTCCCTGGTCATGTGGCTTTCCATTATTCCGTTATTCTCCCCCCTCACATCCCATTCCTTCCTACATCAGCCTCTTTCTACTCAGTGAAGTGATGGTAAATATTTCCTTGAGTGTGTCCTTGATTTGTAGCATTTACCAACTTGTATATTATAAATACTCATTCTGGGCTGGCAGCTCCTTGATTGTATCCTTGATTTGTAGCATTTACCAACTTGTGTATTATAAATACTCATTCTGGGCTGACAGCTCCCCCTTCATCTTGGCCACCAAAACTCTGAAGTAATCCTTGATTCTTTGTCTTACATTTTTGTGGCTCAATAATGAGAAATTTGCCACTCATTCACTTCTCAAATGTTTCCATTGTCTAGCATCTCTGCTCTATCCATGCCGATTGTCCATGCTTTACCGTCTCAACTGCCTCTTCCCAGATCCCCCTGCTTCTGTTTTTCACAGATCACTAAAATAATGTGACTCAAGCATCCTGGTAATCTGCTTTACATGCCTCTTAGGGAATATTCTCCCAGATATGACATAATAATAGTCATATTAGACTAATTACCATATTAGACAGAGCAGGTGGAATTTCCCATGTAAGACTTTACCTATTAACATTCACAGAAGGGAAAGGGGACATCTGACCCTCACCTGAGACAACAGCCACTTACTCTCCCTGATCTACCCCAGCTGCCTGTGACCTTTGGAGTATATAGGATGTAGAAAGTTAACTAGTGGTGGAACCCTATCTACACAACTTTTGGGAGGTCACCCTCCATGGCAAGGTGGGACATCTCAGTGGTGTAGCTGTTTGGGGGCCACAGATGGATTCTGTTGTAACTCCTTACCCAGACTTCATGTAAGCAACTCTCACACATAGTTCTATAAGTGATCCCCAGCCACACCTCAGGTAAGTAACTCAATAATAAACTCATTGGTTTACCAGAGCGGACATGAGTAGAATCATTCCTTTGGCTTGTCCTTGAAGCGTTATGTTCATGTCTTCCTGTGGAGGTGGGTCCTCTTTCACCCTCAACCTGTTGGTCACCAGGTTGAGAGTGAAGAGAGGCAGAAGGGGCAACAGAAAACTTTGGAGGCCCATGAGCACAGAAGGACACAGACATCTGGGAAACAGTTTTCAGTGAATTAGCTCAACTTTATTACAGCGTATAAGGAATATATGGGGTTGGGAAGGCTGGGGACAAACCCCAATTTGCATTAAGTTCCTATCACAAGGCTTAGTCTGTGGCAGTAGGGTCCTACAGCACAGACCCTACCACAAGTCTTTTCAGCAGGAATCTCTGCCAAGGGTCGAGCTAAATATGGATCAGGCATCTGGTTTAGAGGCAGCTTTCAGATAAGGTCAGTCCTCCAGGCCCAGGGACTATCTCCAGATAAGGCTAGGTAGTGAGCAGGAAGCTTTGCTGGAGGGAGGGAGCTCTATGTTGCAAGAGCTAATGAAAGAAGCTGCCAGGCCATGGAGAGGCCGAGACTTCTACCAACAGCAAATGTATTCCGGCATCTTCCCCCCAAAAAGTAATGCACAATGCTTCTCACTGGTCCTCCATCATCACACAGATGAAGTTTTTGCTTCCTAAAATCCTCACCTGTCATCTTTCCTTGTCTTACACTCCCCATTAAGAACATTCTTAGTGCTGAGGGAGCTCATGGGTTGTCTACAGCTACCTATGAAACTTAATCTCTCTAAGTTTCAGGATATTAGTCATCTATTTTTTGAAACTGAAACTAAAAGAAATTAATAGCTCTAAAATGTTAGAAAGTAATAACAAAATCTTAGAAATTAAAACCCGAGAAAGAATTTGGGACAGCAGATGGCAGTAGAACATTATTTTCAGCATAGTATTAGCAAGCCTCAGCACTGGCCAAATGTTGAGGAAAAGCTAATTGTGGTGTAAAACAGTCTTTCTGGCTTGGTGGGCATGCCAGCAATCCTGGAAATGGAGGATTAAAGCATAGCATTTTTGGGAATGTCAGGCTAACCTACATAACACACTTTCAGTCAATCTATACTCCTAAGAATCAGGCCATTGTGGGACAAGTGTCACCATGCCACCCCCACCCTTGGTGTCTATCCTTGCTGGACCCCTTCCCTTTCTCCCATAAGTAGTAGGGTCCAGGCCATTTTTAGATACCCTTCCCTCTGTCATCCTGCAAAGACATCGTTTTCAGGCCATGCCAGACACCTTTCTGCTTTGTCCCATTTCTTAATCTACCTGTGTCCTCTAGGAATGCCCAATACACACAGATTTTTTTTTCAGGCTTTTCTGGACAACCCATCCAGGGGCCTCCACTTTACATTCCCTTCCAGCTGTCACTAGAACTCCCCTCCGCTCCCCGCTCCCACCAAAGCCCTGAATAAAATGGGTCCTAGCCAAGTAGTGGAGATATGACGTGCTACCCCACGAGGGCTGATAGCACGTGTGATGTGTCAGGTGTGGGGGTGTCCAGCAGTGCCTGACAGCTGAATATTGGTTAGAGCAGTACAACTCTGAAAGCTAGTTCTACATGGGGCACTACTCCAGGATGGTTTTCTACTTGGGCCTGATTGATAGACGCTTATATGGGGTGGTGGCAGCGGGATTTCCAGCTTGGTCTGAAAGCTACCAGTATATGTTGGGCAGCAATAAAGTGATTGTGGCCATCAGGGCCTGTTGTCTAGTACTGACTGTAGGCAACGGGGAGAGATACAGTTAGAACTGCTGTTTAGCACTGATAATGCAATAGCAGTTGGAGACCCAGCAAACTGTGTGGGGCTGTGATTGAATTCTCTCGCGGCCTGACGTCCACTAGTGTCTATGGAACAGCATCAGGATATGGTTGGTTCCGGAAGATCTGAAGTTAGTCACATGGTTGGGCATCTGCAAGGGCTGGGATGTTCAATAGCATCATTGTATGTAGCAGTGTTTGCGACTAAGAGATGGGAGTGTTCATCAAGGCCTGTTCACCTAACAAAGTTCATATGTTCACAGTGCATAGGAGGTATCAATTAGGTTCTCTTATCTAGCAAAGTGTATTCAGCAGTCTCTGAGGAGCAGGGGAAGGGAAAGGGGAGTGACCCACCTGTCCTGGTAAGTTGCAGAGTGTGAAAGGGGTTCAGTAGGCATCTCAGACACAGTAGAGCATCAGGGACTGCAGGGTAAAGTCTGGTAGAATCTAATTCCTAACGCTGATATGACAGATGGTACTATAGTGGGGATATCCCGCAGGACCTGATGTTTAGATTCTATACAATCTGGATGCACATTGATGGTGTCTGTAACAGCTAGATACCTAAAGGTGTATGTGGGTGACACTTGGGTGTATGACAAGTGTTTATGCCTTCAGTGTGTGTTCAGGGAAGTATGAAGGGGTTACCTAGCAGGGGTTGAAGCCTAGCTTCTTATATGAAATGGTGAAAAGGGCATAACTTTCTCTAGCACTACCTGACACCGGTATGCAGGGGCTACAGGGTGTCCAATAGTGTCTGGTTCCTAGCCCTGCATTTGGGATGGCAGTCTAGCTTGTGTCCAGTGAACCCTCATGTACCTGATGTGGGGTGGGCCATTAAGGCCAGGTCTATTAGGAGCTGATGAGCACAGTATCTGCTGGGCCACACCAGGGGTAGGAATGTCTACCACTTCCACAGCCCAGTACCTAACACTTCATATGGGGCAGAGTAAGGGTGACTTTGTGGACTGAAATAAGAGAGTTTCTGGGACTTCGGGGTGACTGAGCATGCAGCAGGGTATGTTTGAACCACCTTGGTAGATCTCCAGCAGTGCGTAGTGACAGACTGGTCCCGAGGGTGCATCATACCTCAAAATATACATGATGTAATGCTGGGGTGGTTGTGTTCAGAAGTGTCTGAACACAGTGGTTAATGGGGTGGGGGCTTTGCTGGGAAGCATACTATACAGTAGGACCTAACAACTAGCAGTGTATTTCAGTTGGTAGTAGCATATGGGGTTGTCTAGTAGGGTTTGATATACATAGTGGCTAGCATGTGGTGTAGCTATCTGGAGGGTTACCAGAATAAAGTTTATATGGTGTTGGGACCTAGGGTGATCCAGGGCTTTCTCAGAAGTCCTAATGAAAAGCAAGGGAACATTAGTTCTGTGTCCTTGACCAATCATCATTGGGACCTTGTAAGCGTTAGGTGCTGTTTATGGCTCCTCAGGGAAAGAATTCTCACAAGCACTGGCAGAGTTGCTTGAAAATTGTTATGATCAGATTTCCTCTTGAGGAGATATTTGTTGATCAGAGAGTATAGCCATTATATATACTTTTGTCTTACAGAGTCAATTCTGAAGTTATATGGACTACAAACATATGACCTTTGATGACAATGTATTTATTTAATGTAATTTCTCACATCCTTCATATTTTCCTGGATTCTCTGATTATCTATATTCATTCACCCATTCATATTCTTCCTGTTTGTTTCAGTCTCTGCCACATGTGTACATGTTTGCATGTGTGTGTGTGTGTGTGTGTGCGCGCGCGCGCGGGTACGCGTGTGTGCATGCGCAAAACAGTGGTTAAAAAGTTGAGTGATTAAATAGGCTATTTTTGCAATTTTAGAGAAGGATAATGAATGCCATGGCCCTTCAAACCTAATCCACTTCTAGAGGTTTCATGTAAGGTATTGTTACGTGAGTTGTATAAGGAGGTTGATGGTATTTTTTAGCCGATGGCTGAGCTCTTCCCTTGCATGAACAATGAATTGAACACTGGAAAAGACAGAAGACTAAGCCATGGAGAGAGTCTAAGTAACAACTTTATTCCTTTGGGGTGGAGATACCTAAGGTGTGAAGTCTTCTAGAGGGATTCTGACTTGCTTATTCTATAAGGTCCCTATGTCCCCCCATTTCCCCCCCTCTTATTTCAGCTCCCAAGTCTTCTTGTCATTTCTCCTCTCAAGGTCTTCCGGGAATAAGAAATGGCCAGCTCAGGAAGCCTGCTCTTGCTTTCCTAGTCTACTCATGTCCATCTAACTCTCCTTTATTCCCTCCCTCAGAGATTGACATCAACTATCATCAGGAAAGGGGGCGATGACCACTCTAGCTGCTTCAGGCTGTGAGGGGGCGTAGTTCAGAGAGGTTGTCAGTCTAAGAGAGAGGGAACTCTCATGCGGTAGGCAGGCTGCTGGAGCTGGTCTCGTTTTGGCAGGCAGTAATCTGAGGCTCCATCTAAAGGGCCATCTGTAAAAAATAGGACTGAAAGAGTAGAGAGGAGAATATTAGAGACCACTATACTACAGACCAATGTAGGTGACCATTTTAAGTCCCACATAGTAGCAATTGATCCAAGGTTGGGATGGAGAGTGATGAACCCAGGATTTGTTTTCAGACACTTTGATAACTGTTAGAGTGACCAGAATCACAGTGAGGTCTCTCTCACATGGCTTCTGAAGGGGATTAAAAAAAAAAAGAAAAATTTAACCTGAAAAATCAATGATGTTTCAAACAATATGGGCTTGTCTCTCTGGGCTGCAGGTAAACACTGAAGTGCTGAATTGAGCCAAGGTCCTGACATCTTGTATGTGGGAAGCATTTTTCTTATCAAGAAGATAATCGCCAGTGAGAAATAGTTGTCTAAATGACACTCATATACTTTTATCTACAGTCTAGGGAGTGTGGCCCCTTAAACTGTTAAAGAAGCACACCAATCATTCTGCTCTTTGGTTATACTTTCCTGCTGGGTGTTTAAGACCATGTAGGTAGACACAACTATATTTGTGGGGTTTTATTTTATTGTCAAGGCCAGTTGAAGATGTGGCCCTTGGGGGTTACTTGGGTTTGAGAGGAACCTCTGAATCATCTAGCCCTCCTTTTACAAACTGTGGTCATTCCCTGGGAGGATAATTCAAAGGCCTTACTTAGCCATGGCTTTGCTTGGAAACATGGAGGACATTCCCTCTGTACTGGATGTCTGCTTTGCAGATTGCACATTGCTTAGACCTCACTGGGTAGAGTCTCCATGGTCATTCTGAACAAAAGAAAAGGTGATTCCTCACAGTTAAAGAACATTATGAGAGATGCCTATATCTGTAGGACCTACTTGACTTTGGACAGCAACAGGGAACTACATTCTCCCTTTTAATCCTTCTGACCACATTAGTATGGCCTCCAAGTATGGCTATTAAATACCCTGAATGGCAGTTATAACCAAACACTTAAACACATCTTGATTAAATAAATATGTCTGATCTTTAAGCAGTCTTTGTAATTGTTGGGGAGATTAGAGCGTAATTCCATTGACTTAAGAACTCTGACATCAGTCTACTGAATTCCGACCTTTTAGATACTTTGTATAACTTGCTCAGACCCCTGTTATTTGCTAAAACTTTCCAGCTTTCTTTTCCATCCTGGAAAAGTAATCATGCATTTTTCGGAGACATAATAACAGTAACTTATCAATAATCAACAAGCCTAACTGTAATGATTGCTTGAAATTTGGCACAGTGATGCCAAGACAGTTGGTTGGCTTAGAAGATAGTGCTATGTAAAAGCACCTTAACAAGAGAAAGTTGAATACCAAGTACATACTCCATAAATTAAAATTCCATGAGTAAATACTGTTAAAATATGGGGCTTAGTAAGTTCCCAAGTAAACCTTATTGAAAACATAAGACAGTCTTTATACAGAGAGCATGCATTCTCAATGAGAAAGGCCTTAAGGCATTCCTGGCAGGGCAGGGCTTATCTAATTGAGAAGAAATGTGGTCATAGTCCCAAAGATCATCAGGGTAGCAGGACCTATGACACAACAATAGACATCTTCAGAGACACTTTTGATCACAGGGATCTTCTACCCCAAATGCACCCTCTATTGGTTCTGGGGATTTCCTAAAGGTACTTCATTTATTCAAAACTAGAGACCGAAAGCTTGAAGTACTTAGGCATCACAGCAATCTGCAAGCACCTTTCAAGCTTCACCCAGGAAGAATCCAGCCCATCTAACTCTCAACCCAGGCAAGGGCCTGCTCACAGAGGAGGCTTTCTACTCACAAAGTCCAGATTGGATCCCTGTGCAAAAAAAAAAAAAATATATATATATATATATATATATATATATATATATCAGGTGTTCCGTTTTAAGGCCCTTGCACCCAAGAAATCCCAAAGGTGAGGCCACGATCTAGGGGAGCCACTGGTGATGACCACCCTTCTGTAGACAAAAGAAGATACATTGGAACACTTTCTAGATCTTGCCTTCCTTTCCAGAGTGTCCTCTGCAGAGTTAACAGACATGACGATAAATACTTGTAACTTCTTCTGACTTACTGTCAACCAATGAAGCGCAAGTCTTTTCAGAACATTTTTCTCTAAGGTGAATACCCAATGTCCCGTGTAAGGCCATCTGAGAGCAATTCACACCTAATAGGGCCTCTCAGAAGCCTAGAAAGGAATATATATGGATGGGGGTATTTGCAATGCCAGAACTGTCATCCATGTCACTGTGCAGCTAAGGGAAATCCTATTCCTGCTACCACCACCCTGCCTCACATATGGTGACAACATTTTGAGGCAGAACATTTGCAAGATAGGCCTCTGGTAGCCATGCAGGCTCTAGAAATACAGCGAAAGTCCCTCAGGGATGCCAGCACCCAGGAAATCTTTACTATACAGAGACAGAACTTTTTCCCCTCCTAGCTCACTCATAGCTGCCTCATTTTAATTTCAAGCATTTCCCAATTTGAACTCAAAGGACAGCTTGCTGGCAGAGGCATCAGTTCAACCTCAGCTGACTTACTTCCGGTATGAAGTAAACTCTCTCACTGGCCTACAGTTTCCAAGTAGATTACACTGGTCAGCCAATGAGGCTCAGGGATGCACACCTGTTGGATTACCTTGCACTGAGATTGGTAGTCTCTGTAACTCAGCACCTCATGCTTGCAATAAACATACTTTGTGGACTGAGCCACCTCCCCAGCCTCTAAATTCTAAATTCTTTTTTTCATTACATGGCTTAATTATTTGTGCTTTCATTTGCTCCTACTCATTTATTTGCTTACTTGATTACTAGTTCCTTTTTAAAGTCTTTCAGTCTGCATAGATTTTTCTGTTCTAGTTTCATTTTTGCTCAAGTGTTGTAAGATTATATTTTGGTATTTATTTACTTTCACTGAGGCTTTTCTCCCCCTTGTAATAAATTTATTTGCTTCTGGCAATGTTCTGGATCTGTGGAATTTACAACTACTTGGCACTTAGCCGGATTTGATTTTCTAACACTATTTTTGTCCCGTTGGGTTGAATTTTTGCTTTCGTTTTCTGGTTTTATTTATTGTATTTTTCTTTCTGTTTTTGTTTTAAATTTTTGTGTTTTTTGCATGTTTTTTGATTTTGTGTTTTAGTTTTTTTACTGGGTGTTTGGTGTGCAGTTTAGAGTTTGAGTTTTTTTATTTCAACAATTTTGCAAATGTTTTGGAATGTACCAGTTCTTTCATTCCGTCTTTTCTCATTTATTTCCTTTTCCCATTTTCTTCACTTCACACTCACACATTTCGAACTATAATCCTTCCACCTCACTGGACTATGAGCTGGCTTTTGGATCTCTAATGTAATGGTCTGGGTTTTGTTTAAATGTAGCTTTGGTTTTCTAGTTTTTCCTTGTTTGTGTGGTAATTAGTATTTACTTTTTTGGTTTTTTCCTTTACATTTTTCATATCTTATGCTATCATACTTCATTTCTTCCTTTGCTTTCTCTCTCTTTTTCGGGTAGCACTCCCACCTACAATGTATAGTGCCAGTAAGGAGACAACGTCAGGGCCCAACTCTGTGCCTGTCATCTATGATAAAGAGACAATCATTATCCTGAAGATTTTAGGCCAAGGCAGCACTGCTAAAGTCATACTGTCCCACCATCATCTCACAGGTGTGTCCCACCATCATCCCACAGATGAACCAGTTACTTGCAGAATAGGAGAAGTGGTGGTCCTTGTGAGTATGGTCAACCACCCTAACATTGTTTCACTCATCCAAGTAATCAAAACCAAACCGAACACTTTCTTAATCATGGCAGTGACTGAGGAAGAGCAGCTATTTCATCACATCCAGGAAGTGACAAAACTTTCCAACAGCTGCCAACTGCTGTAAGCTATTTCTCTGATGAAGACATAGCTCACAGAGAGACCTTGGTCCTGATAATATCCTAGTGGAATGGGAGCAAAAGGGTAAAAATAATTAAAATAAATAATTTAAATTCAAGCCTGGGCAAAGGCTAAAGACTGATGCAGCATTTGTTCCTTCCCCACAGAAGTCTCCTTATGATGGCCCCAAAGCAGACATCTGGACTTTGGGAATCATTTTGTATTATACGGCAACAGGGGACTGTCTTGTTTGCAGGGACCATCTTGTCAGAGTTTAGGGAACAACTTCAAGTGCAAAATGATGTCCCCTATAAGCTTCCTAAAGAGTTAATGAGAATGCATTATTAGTCCATTATTAATAATAAACACTAAGCAGAGGCTAAGTATACAAAATCTCATGGGTCACCCATGACTATGGAAGGCCAAAAGACATTGTGATGGAGAGGCTAGCTGCCCAGACTCTGAAATTGTGGCAGCCATGAAAGATAATGGGTTTGATACCCAAGACATAAAAGAACCTTTAATACACAAAACCTTAAAGAAACCATGGCTTCATACCACCTACTTAGAGGCCAGGCATCAGGACAATGGCTGTAAGATCCAAACAAAGCTTAAGAAAAGAGGGGTGACATTCTTCCCTTCTGTTGAAGATCCTGCCACTTCCCCCTGCCTCCCAGGAGAGGGACCAGTGGACCTTCCTTTGGATATTCATATTATGAACCGATAAAGACCAGCAAGAGCAAAGTGGGGAGACAAATGCCCCTGTTTTGCAGGAAAGTACATCCGTTCTGTATTTTCCAGAGCCCACCAAGGGCTCTATGACTGAACCATGTATTTATTCACTAAGAAGCAGTGTGGCGCACACAGAAGAAACCAGCTTCCCTCTGGTTCATCAGAGAAGGCCTTCCAACATGGCACGGAGTACACTGGGACATAGGCCTCTAGTTCAGATCAGCCCAGGGGCTAGAAGGGAGGGAGGAGGAAGATTGGGGTATGCTTATCAAGATTGTGTTGATTCATGTTACCCCCACAAATCCTCATCCTTGTCAGGTTTGTCAGATGAGAATTCCCCCAAGAAGTGAGCGGGCAAGGTGAGATTTATCAGGGCAATTGAAATGAATGAGGCAGATACACTTGGACAACTGGTTTTATCTCTGCTTTTACTCGTGTCCTTATCTATTGGTAGACCAAAATTTTATATGTTCACAGGGCAAAGCACATTTGGAGGCTAGATCTAGACACCGAGTGATGGTCAAGTCATGCCTACCAACACAATGAGTGCCTCACAAGACAAATCCCACTGCGTGTTTATAGATACTTTGCAATAGTAAATTGTCATATGCTGTTTATAGTCACTGAAAGGCTAGATCTGGAAATGGAGTTTGACCCAACTCCCAAAACACACACACATACACTTAGGCCCCAATCATGTTTGTCTCAAGGTATCCTCCAAGATCCTTTGTCTGGGGTTGGGTTGTCCCCCTTAATGTTGGGACAAGCAAGAAATGAAGCAGCTCAAGAGTAAAGCCTGTTTCTGAGAACAGTAATAAGGATAATCTGTAACATGTTACCATGTTTTACCCCTTGATATAAAAACGCTTGCAGTGAGAATGAGAAGTCAAAGCTCATTCACAGAGAAATCTGAATGAGAATCCAAGCTGACTGCCTCACAGGGACTTCCCAATCTGATTTCACCTGGGCATTTTATTTGTATGACCCCTAATTGGATCATGTCCCATTTTGTGTATTCTCACAACTGAGCTCCATCCCAAGGCCGGCCTGGAGTTTGTAAACACCCCCACCCCCGCAATTTGAGGTATTTTCTTATATCTGTTGCTTCTTCCACTTTGAATTTTTTTAAATTTACTATTGCATACTACTTCTGTAAAGCCAGAAG